CTCTGTTCTGCATCACTCCTCCTGTAAAGCTTGCTTCCTGTAAGCTTTCACTCATACAATTTTTGTGCATTATGTAAATGCAAATTGGAGTTGTTCAGTAAGTATGAATTGCATTCAGTGCTCATTCAAGGTAACAGCAGTAGTTCCATGTTGTGCAGACACTAGCACAAGCATTTGGGAACTGATCTGTAAGAAAAGCTTACTGTTTTTCTTGTGGACAATTTATTGTTATTCCCATCTCATAGAGATGGAAAAAACCCCACTTTTTGCTCCAGTGCGTGACTAATCCGATGCAGTGCAGGCACGGGAGTGAGAGGGCAGTAGGAGTCCACTTTTCCCATCCCAGCTCTGTGCAGCACCAGCTGAGGAGCTCTGCAGGTGGGATGCTGAAAGGGGAGGCAGGCAGTGCCTGGGGTGTGCTGCAGCCCTCTACAGCTCAGACACGCAGGTCTCCTGCAGCCTAGAGATAGGGACTGAGGTGTGATTGCAGTTCCCAGGGAGAAGTGCTGAAGCTGTTCACAGCAGAAAAGCACCCAATTTTTCAAAGAAGGCATGGCGATGCTGCTCCTACCCTGTTTTCCCCTAGTAAGTGTTCATAGACACTTTGACCTCCCACTTCCACCTCCCAGCAGGCCAGAGGGGAGTTTTCCCTACTACACCACACTTGGGCTGACATTCAGCAAAGCGTACAAATCCATTAGGCAGGGATATGTGGCTGTCCAGCTTGGTGCTTTAGGTGCTTACCTGAGAGAAAAGTTCTGCAGCTTTTCCTGCATTTGTTCTGGTGACTTTTCCATGCAAAAGGGCCAGGAGTGACTCTGAGAACAGCATCTCTGAACCTGTGCCTCAGCCACTGCTCACTGCAAAGAACAGATTCGACCTGGTTACAATCTGATGAGTAGGATAGCCTCATTAAAAAATGAAAGCGTTAGTCCAGCCTCTTTCATGCTGCAAAGGTCACAGACACCAGGTTTTCTACTACCTATCAACAACATCCAGAATGATAAAAAAAGCACAAATGACCTTGCATGGGAGATGCTTTTTGTGATAAGTGACAGCTCTGGGTGGGTGCAATTAGCTAACTTTGACCACCTAATAGGCAAGGGTGTCTACAACCTTTCAGGATAAGAGTGTTGCAGGCTACTGAAGTCTTTTTCTCTATCTGGGCACTGAAAAGGTTGGACCAATGCTCAGTGTCATTTCTTTCAGCCGAAGCATTGTGGGGGACAGTGGGGGCTGTCGATGGCTCTGGGCACAGACCCCATGGCACAGGGGATCTGAAATGCATGTTGACCACTGGAGGTTGCCTGAATTGTGACAATCTTTCAGATGTCGCTTCCCTGCCGCCAGCTACCTGACTCATTGCTTTCTGTTGCCTTTGATTTCTTCACTGAGTACATGAAAGAAGTGACTGCAACAAGCACCGACAGTTATTCCTGGCTTTTTTTACTTAGTTACTCGGAGCATGGAGAAGCACATGGTGGAGCTTTCAATTCTGGGAATAAATAGAAAAATAAATAAAATTAAAACCTAGTTGCCAAGGGGATAGAAAGATTGCAGGAAACCATGCGCTCTGTATGAGCGCAAGAGTACCCTCCTGGTGGAAGGGAGGGCGGATGGTGACTGTGTAAACTTCTTACTGTTTGATCTCGGCATGCCAGGCTTACCCTCATATATAATCGCTGTAAGTTGCTTAGTGGTGAGCCAGCAGCTGACCTCAGAGCTGTATTTCACACCCTAATAATTGCAGGCAGCAGCGGTACCAAGCCGGGCAGGCCCCACGGGTGGCCGAGCACTTGTCCTACCCTCAATCAGCACCAAGGAGCTGCTCCAAGGAGCTGAGCAGCAGCACTCAGAGGCTGAATTTCCTCACTTGCCGAGGGAGTGGTGCCCATGGCAGTCACAAGGTCCTTTTACAGTGGCTACTGTAATAGAGGCTACTGCTACAGGCAAAATTGTACTTTTTCTTTGATAAATCTTAGGTTTCTAACAAGACCTCCTGACACCAGGTCCATTCCAGGTAACCCAGGCAGAACTGATTTTGCCTGAGTTTCTTCTATCACATAGTGAAATTTCTCACATGGTGACTATCTTCAAATGTGTGAGTTGTACTCAATAATATTATAATCAATAACATTAACTCTCCTCAGATAATCTTGAGTCTTCATATTTAGTTTATTTTGCTTCGTGTAGCCAAAAGCTTGCTTTCCTTTCTTTTTTCTGTCTTTTTTTTTAAATAATCCTGCAACATATGGAAACTGTTAGCAGAGACTCCATATTCCAAGCCCCTGGGAACATGTAACTAATGCATTTCTTCTACCATCCAGTTTGTCTGCTTTACTACACAGCAAATATACTTTTCCTTCTCTCTACTCTCTTTCTTCCCTCCCTTCTTCCCTCCCTCCCTTTTCCTCCTCCCCTCTCCTCCCCTCCCCTCCCCTCTCTCCTCTCTCTGGTATTTCACTGTTGCACATACTTTTTGGCCCACAAAGGGTGTTCACAGTCCTGACCCAAACAAAGACTCCTGCCTTTTCTCTTCCTCTCGCTGTGACAGCCCTTTTCATCTGCTACATCTGTGAATGACTGTGGTGATTTCACTGCTAGCATACTGTGCTCAGTGGGAACATCTGTATTTTGTTAAATGCATGGAAGAAAACGTATCCTATAGATTCTCATTCACCCTGAGGCACCCATGAAGCATGGAGAAACTTGTGGCTGATGTCCCTGACGCAGGGCTGTTGATGACAATCCCCAAGGATCCATGCTGTATGGAGATCACATCCTGCTGGGGCACACCCGGCACTGGGATGCTCTTGCTCCTGGCCAGGGCTTGCTTGTAAATTCCCACATTTGGAGAAGATGAGTAGCTGAGTGGCTGGATAGAGAATGTCACTAATGCCCTAATGACAGGTAAGTATCAGCATTTTAATTGCAAATTCTTCCACAGGGGAAGGGGAGCCTGAATATTACTGAAAATTTTAAAGTCATTTGCATACAATAAGCTGCTCTAACAGACATTTGCTTGAGTGCAGTCACGTATGCAGAATTAGGAAGTACCAAAAATAAAATTACATCTTCAATCTTCATTTGGCCCCTTTGTGCTCATGCATAACACTACAGATTTGAGCTGCGAGCTCATGGACCTTGTCTCGTTCAGTGCAGGTACCTGACAGCTCTCCAAGAGCCACCACTCCCTGCTAGAGCTTTTTCAGACCTCCTGCCTGTGTGCTCCCTCAGTTTATTTATCTGTTTTAAAGAGCCTGGTCTTTTAATTTCCTCTAGAGTCCTCTTTTCTGCTCTTCATGGTCCTCACCCTCTGAGAGGTGAAGTATCCACTCTGTTTCACTTGTAGGGTAGGGCCATGGAGCACAGCAGTCAAACTCAGAAGCAGAGGCCAACCTCAGGGGTCTGGTGTGATGTTGTAGTACCGTGTGCTTTTAAGGCCCTTACTGATTTCAGGTGCAGGTACTTTCCCAGTCTGGACTTCAGATCAAGCTCCCACAAAACGAAGCTAAGATGCTCCAGGTTACCAATGCAAAGCACGGTTCAAGTGAAATTCCCAGCCCTGTCCAGGAAAGCTACAGCACAGGCAGGAAAAAAATCCAGTTCTCTAACATGGTGTAGAGCTACCTTAACTGTAGGACCTTTCTCTCTCTCTGCTGCAACCTTCATTCCACAGTGCCCTCTTCTGCAATAAGGACAGCAATGCTCTTGCTAACAGCTCCCTCACAACCCAGCCCAAAGTCATTCCCCAGGCCCATGAACAGGCCAGGGGCAAGAACTGCTCATGGGGTTCAGTCTGCAGCCGCCAAACTCATTGCTTCAAAAAAGAGCAAAACCGCAGCAGCCAGATCTCTGCACAGTGATGTATAATAGTTTCCATACAAACCCCTCAGCCTGATGTTTCCTGCCTGTTTCTTTTTCAGAGGCGTATTTCAGCTGTCTCCCTGTGGTAGGTTAAATGAACTGCAAGGAGAAAACCGCCTGTATGGAGCATTTCTCCTCGAAGTGTGGTGCACCTTGCAGGATGGCATGGCCACAAAGGAAAGAGATGCAGCTTTCTCCAGGAATTGACCTGCAGTTTTTCGCTGCCTGGGACTCTGAAGCCCAGAAATATGTCTCAGACTTGGCAGTCACCAAATAAAAACATGTTCAGGATGGAGAATGGTGCTGGGTTGAACCTGGCCAGCAGCCAGGCACTCACACAGCTGCTTGCTCACCCCCGTCACCCCCAGTGGAGTGGGGGGTAGAAAACAGGAAAAACAAAAGTGCGAACAATTGTGGCTGGAGGTAAATACAGTTTAATAGGTAAAGAAAAAGGGGAGGGGAACCCCAAGAATCACACATCACCCCCACAGGCAGATGGATGCCCAGCTAATCTCCAACCAATGCCCACCTTGGAAGCCAAAACCCTT